AACAGCCTTCTTTGCTTAATATGCTGCCCTACTGAGTAAATTTGAATGTCATGAGAAACTCTAAAATGAATGATTTGCTTAGCTGTTTGCTGTTCTTAATTTCAATCAGTGAACTATCTTTAGATACCTCTTGCACTGGGGAACAAAGAGTTTAACGAAATTTTCGAAGCTCGATTTACAGGCACCAATCTCTTTATATCCTCATTCGAACGGAAGCAATTCATTAATGCGAAGTATGTGGAACGGAAGTATGTACTTCCGTTGGTGAATGAGCTAAGCGATGCTTTTTACGATGCGGTCACCGAAGGTTCTGTCAAAAAGCTGCTTCACGCATTTGCAAACAGATATGATTTCAATTCCATTTTGGATCAGGTATATACATACGACAAATTTTTCTTGTTGCTTTAGAAAATTTATTTCTGGTCATGTTTGAGAAACCTTAGACATAGTGGAATATTCTTAAAACAGATGAGTTTAAGATTCTGCACAAAAAGATTATGTGCATAAGTGACGTTGGATTTACTCTATACATGTTTTCCTAACGATTGTGGTGCGAATTCAGTTGGTGCTATTCGAAAACAATTTTTCTTTTGTACATGAAAATTCAGTTGATTCCGTTATGAAGCTGGAAAATTGTGCCTGTGATATAAAAGGATTTTACACAACTTTTAAATAGGCTGATGTAATGATTCATTGCAAAATATTAAATAAAAAATAAATCCCAGTTGGCATTTGAGACGTGCAGCGTTAAAAATCAAAGGAAGTTTCTTCAGATTTTGCTTGAAATTATGCAACTGAATGAGTGATGTTTGGAACGTTCAAAATTTTATATTGGAAGGTGAGATGAGATGCAAACTGGGTAATTTTTAATAAATGCATGATGAATGACTGTAATACCATTATTCTGATTGTAGAACTTGTAATAGCTGATAGGACATGGTTTACCTGTTATATAATATTGAACCCCCCTTTGATAGTTAATGTTTTTCATCAAAATGTACTGTTGCTTGAAAATTGTCAAATCCTACGTAAACACGGTCATGACGGGCTTTGTCGGTGCCGCATATAGGTTCCGCTTTTATTCGCTTCTTTTAGATTGCCATGTGATCTTCATTCTAAATCGTGCCACCGCGCCCCACTCTAGCAACTTTATTTTTAAATTCGTTTTTGAATTATTAACAGATACCACTTCACGCGTTTTTATCATATAGAAGTACGGAGAATCTACGAAGTCGCCTTTCGTTGATTTTCGGGTGCTTCTCAGCCCGTTTGACGATAAATCATAAGTATGCTATTAATGTAAATATCCCCAAATAATTTCGAATGTTACCCAATTTAATATCAATCACTACCGCGTTGTCGGTTAACGTAACTGGGCGGATGGTGGTAGGCTAATTTTTGTTTGAATTTTCTGTTTATTTGTAAAAAATTAGCTGTTTTCAGCGGCGTGGAGAAACTGCCCTGTTCCTCGCGATTCGAGCCGACTGCAGCGGCTCTCACCTGGCATCCATTCAGTTTCTTCTTCAGAACGGGTTTGAAGCGTGGTCGCTGATTGTGGTTGATTGATTAACTACGTTTGTTTTTAGTGCCGACGTGAACGCAAGGAATAGCGGCGGAGAAACGCCCGTTCATCTTTGCGTGCGCATGAACAAGCCGGACTGTCTGAAGCTTCTGCTGCTCAACTGGAATGTTGATCTGTCGTTGAGGAGCGTCGAGCAGCTTACTCCGACCCAGCTGGCCGCTAAGTTGTCGAACGAAATTTGCGAGAACCTGGTACGACGCGTCTCGTCGATTGCCAGAAGTTTTGTTGAAGCGTTTGGGGACAATTTTTTCAGTTACTCGTGCTTTTTTCGTGTTTCAGATCCACAAGTGGGAGAACAATCAGAAGTCATCTTTCGGGGACGTCGAAATTCCGTTGTCGTTGCTACATTCTGTAATTTCTTGCTCTGCGATTGGCTTCTTACAGACACTCATTCTCATTTTAGAACCTCAGCGACAGTGTCATCGCGTCTGACGGCGAGTGCTCGACCGATTCCGGTCACTTCGGTGACGTCAGTCCGTCTGCAATGTCCATTTCTCTTCTGAAACCGTCTGCATGTATGATCCAATAACTGTGTTAAAGACTTGTCGGCTTAAATTTTCAGACAGTAGCTTACGCAATCGAACGTTTCCTCGGCGAGAAGCGCGACGGCATGCGAACAGCTCGGTCAGTTTATGCTTACCCAATTCAGATGTGTCAGCAAGTGCCGCTTCTTCAGATCGAACTGTCGTTTTAAGCATTCCTAGGCTTGATCATCAGGACAGTGTCAAAAATTTAGAGACACCTAAAGAAGCGAAGCCTGTTCCGCCAAAACCTGCTCCGCGAAAGGTTTGCATGATTGTCAGAGTTATGATGAAGGTGTGCGCTCTGTTCCTGGGCATCTGAGAGCAGTCCGCGGTGTTGTTTGCTTAAATTCGCCGATTTCGAAGCGACCGCACTTGCTCTCCCGCGCTAATCGCTAGTGATTATTGACTAACACATGCTTCATTATCAGACATGAGTTGTACAGCAATCACGGTAATGTCTAACTATAAAATTTTCCTTCATACACCTGCAATATAATCTTTAGTTTGCGGCTTACCCCTTATACTTATTTTTAGTTGGCTTTCATCTTGGGTAAGGCTACTTTCGGTCGTTGATTGTTTGCATCAGAAGCGTGCGTAGCTGTAAATCTCGCTAGCTTTGACATACTGGAACGTCATGCTCTCCTTATTGTTTGCTGGTCAACGACTTGCTACGCATTCTCTGTTCTTTGCACCGGAACAGTTCGGCAGATTCATCGCCCGAGGTAATTGCCAGTAATTAAAATAATTTTACTCCACGCTAGGACTCAAACAGTGTTTGTAAACTTCACAGCCTAAGTACAGTCTAATTTGCCAGTGCTACCCGCTGCTAGTGTGGTGAATTTGTGAAGAGAACTCGTTTAACATTTAAATGGATACAAAATATGGTACTAGAACAACAGCTAGCCATAAATGTGTACACTTGGATAGTTCGGCCGTTTTCGGATCAGATGATTCGAAAAATTAATTCACTCGAATTCGTGACCAGTTACTGACCTTTTATTCACACTGGCGCATTCTCAACGATTTCCGTTGAAAAACAGCATTGCACTTCCTTTTTATAAAACGCAAATGATCGGTTTAGAAGATGTCATGCGTTTCAGCCCATGCTACCGATGTTTGCTCTTGTCTCACGCATTCTTCAGGGCAATGTTGTACGTTCGAAAGTGTCGCTGTCGTCGTCATCTGCAGCTTCTGGAAGATTTTGGACTCTGCGGCGAATATCTGGTCTACGCTTTTTCTTTAAGTTGCTTGACGACAGACATGAAGAGGCTCATCTGATCCTCGCAGGGGTTATCCTTGGTTGTAGTTGACACTGTCTCAGGATTGGATAATTCACAGATGATTCATTATGTGCTCAGGGACACGAGCAGCGAATTTTTTCACTAACCACGCCGGGAACTCTGGCCCTTAGGACATGTGTTTTCTTTCCGTCTTCTAGCATCTTCTACAATTCCTGAATGATTTTAGCATATGGCCCAGGTATTGAACGACTATAAACGGTACGAAGAAATACAAATTGCCAGAACATCTATACGCAACTGGACAGTGCACTGCATGCCGTACGTTGTTCAGTGCAAAAGACAAATATTTCTCATTAATTAACAAGAATTGATTTTTTGTGGTTATAACAGGTTCTGACCGGTTCTTCCATTGTTTCGTCAGTTCTCTTCTCCTCGCACTGTTTGAACTTCCACTTCGACTGCCACGTCTTTTGTTTGCTGGTTAGGTGTGCTTTAATTGTTTTTCTCTCTGAAAGAATCGGCTCGATAGCGAACATCCTGATGACGTATTCCCCGAATAACTTTTGAGTTTCGCCGGCCTCAGGTTCACATAGACTCGAAGCGTTACTCGAACGTGTGAAACATTTCGATGATATGGACTACTGGCTATTATTTCTCGTACTTTGTCTTATTATTTAACCCTTTCGCTTATCTTGAATTGAGCTTCGAGTTCCATAAGGAGCTCATTTGATGACTCTTTCTTATGAGTTGTATTTTCTAGCTGCGTAAAATTTGTTTGTCTTTTGCTGAGAAAATTTTTAAAATGGACGAAATAATTGTATGGAAGTCTAAAATTATTCGCAGTGTCAGGACTTACTAATTTTGAACTTAAATCCATGGCGTTGTGACAACATACCATTTGCTAGCTCGTATGACATTAAATTCTTTCAAAAATTACTTCGCGGTTTCAGTTTCATGTGCATTTGTCATCTCGACAAACTGGTCGAGCATATATCATGTACAGTAAGACTTGAGCGTCTTACTTAACATACTGTGATCCATGGACTAGCGAATTGATATTGTATACGTGCTAGTGCTAGCAATGCAGCCTTGATGTGATCGTCAAAAATATGATCGACACTTGAAGGATGGTTTGATACACTGTCGATGAGTAGTAGGATTTAAAATCAAGATTTTTCTTCTTACAGTAATTGCTATTCAGTAACCAGTTGCATTCAGCTATTTAGTCATCGTAGTTCCGGTATTCAGATATTTTTTCCTGACTGTCCAGTTGACCGTTAGATGAATCTGAACATCTTATATAACCGCTTCTCCTTTCGAGTCACGCGTGCAGACGTGTCAGATAATGATTCCAGCGTTCCCGAGCTCTGCCAGAGTCAGCTTCTGCAGAAGAACAGCCAGAGTCTAGAGCAGTTTTCTTCTTTATATTTGCACCAGTTTAATTTTGGCCATCCCCTGGGTCTTCTGCAGGTCGGCTCGGCAAGAAGCGGCTGCTTCATCTTCCTTTTGGAGCCATTGGCAGCACGTGTCCAAATCATCGCAGCTGTTACTTCTCAATCTGAAAAATCTGCGACTGTACACGAATGCTTTTGCGGATTGCTGTACTCCAGACCACGTCGAGACAATGTTAGCGACTCTTATCGGAAAGCCCGTTTCAGCCGCTTGGACCCTGGATCGAAGTTTTTCAGTCATAGTCCACGACTGTGACCACCGAAAGCTGTCTTCAGACTCAGCTCTGCTTTAATCACAATAGTTCGGGCCTAATTCACGCAGAACGCCATTGACTATTCCAGTCTCTTCAAATTTCCATCATCAGTGAACACGACCACAAGGTACTTGAACTTCTCCACTGCTTCTCCGTGTATCTGAAAAGAGCAACGGGCAGGAAAACGAGAAGGCATTATGCTTTTCGTTTTAGATACGTTCACACCCTTGCGCTGGAAATCAATTTCAGAAGATGCCAGCCCAACAAGATCTTTGCGAACAGTTACCTTCTCGTCTAGGCGTCTCCTGTGCTGGTACACTCACCATCTTGGCTGCGTCTGACTATTCTGTCTATCTGTAGCACGAACAGGGGAGGTGACATAACTCAGCCTTGGCGGAGATCAGTGCCAAAACTGAAAGGTCTCGCCTTAATGTCATTTACTCTGATGCTGCACCCGCTAGGAGCGTATTGGATGGCCCGCAGCAACTTGCAATCGATGTTCGTAGGCATGCCTAGAGATTTTTGTACGGAATTCGGTCATAGACTTTCTCTAAGTCCTCAAAGCACATATACACCAGATGGGCGAACTCCCACGATTTCTCAACAGTCTGACGTAAAGGGAATATCTGGTCAAATGTGCTTCGGCCAGGTCGGGAGTCACACTGCTTTTCTTGTATCTTGGGATCAGTTATTCCGCGTCACCTCGTTTGCGTAGGCTTTGCCCCTGAGGTTCATTAAAGTAATGCCTAGGTGATTGGAGCACTCGCTGTGACGTCAGGGAGCCCTTCTTGAACAGAGGTACTACAACCGCCGTTCTCCAGTCTGCTGGTGAATTCTCCATAGCCATGGCAGTTTGACAGACATGTGTAAGCCAGTCTTTGCCTTGTTCGCTTATTGCTTTGAGCATTTCAGGACGGATTTCGTCATTTCCAGCAGCTTTTATACATTTTAGGGCTTTCACAGCTTGTATGAATTCATTTACAGAATTAGTAATATCCGTTTCCTGTTGTTCTACAAGCGAGTCTTCTTGCGGTTGTTTGGGGTAAAAGAGTTCGTAGAGAACCCTCTCCGGTAAGAATGCCCTCATCTTCGGTGAGAGGGTGTCCAGACCTGTCTATAAAGACTCTTGGACTGTCCTTTTTTTCATCGCGGATCCGGCGAACGGTCTGCCAGAATACCTTGTTTACTGTCTAGAAATTCGACTCAAACACCTAACCGAACTTTTCCCAGGAATCATCTTTGGCTTTCGCCACTGGCTTTGCTGCCGCCTTGCGCGCTACTACGTAACGTATGCCAATTGAAGGCTCTTTGCATCCAGTCCATTTCTTGAATGCAGCTTTCTTATTGACTGCCAGTTGTAAGTTCTTTTTTGACCTCTGGGCGGCAGGCTAATCCGTTTGATTCCGCAACATTCGGCGAGAGCCTCGCATACGTCGCTGTTCAAGAGTTCCCACTCGATTTCCACATTAGCGGTCATCACCGGGATGTATTCAGACCATCGTGCGATGTTGTTTTCAAATTTCGCTCGCATATCCGCTGAAGGTAATGTTTCCCATTTGATTCTCTGATTGCTTCTGCCACGAGATCTTCGCGTGATACTCCATCGCTCACAGAGTAACGTGCCAACAACAAGATGGTGATGAGTCGACAGCTCTGCGCCTTTCTTAACGCAAACTTCCTTTGCAGAGCGTCGTAATTCAGACGATACGATTATCAAATGGATCATCGACTTCTGTATACAACCTTCCATGCACCAGCTCTACTGATGCATGCTTCCACATAGTCAACGCTTTAACTTGTTGTTGCTTCAATCAAGCGATTGCCACTCTTATGCTGGCAGGCTACCTTTCACTGATTCTGTCTGCCAGGTTGGGTTCTACCAGAACACCAAGACAGGTTTGAGGGCGCCTTTTGATGTCGACACCTGAGTAGAATTGCTTCCACCCGCAGAAGTTCTGAATTCCAGAGCCTTGACGCTTCGTTCCAGAGTCCTACTATATGGAGTTGGTACCTTGCGGCCTGATTAATGTGCTCCTCCTCTTTTCTTCAGAGTGAGGATATATTTCAATTTCTTGTTGTATCGCTGGCATGACACTGGCGGTGTCGTTTTCTTGGAACCTTTTCTGACGTGCTGTAATAGCATCGCGCTGTCTGCCTCCTCCGTTAAGAACGGGTTGCATCTCCGCTGCTGATTGGTATCTTCTATGTCTTTCCTTCGATGTTTGGCAGCCATTGTCATGCTACTGCTCCCGGGACTGCGAGAAGGCAATGAGCAGATTCTAATCGCCTGATTTTTCGCAGTCTCCATCAGTCTCTCAACAGCCTACGTGGCACTTGGTAACGCGGACGACGACCGATGCGGTACAGCGTTCGTCTGTTGAAATACCTTGAGGGACAAGTGACTAGCTTTTATGGAGACTTCGTTTCGATCTCGAAATGTCCTTTTTTCCCATCCGGTCTTTGGACTGGCAGCTTAGGAGCTACGCTGGGTAGCCAAATGCCTCGTCATCTAATTTGTGATACACATATTGGCACGCTGCATACATATTCATTTTCTAATCTTCTGCTGTCTTGTTATCCAGCAACGTCAATGGTTTCGTCTTTGTATGATTTGAATCCTAATGCCATGTTCTCATCGTAGGACAGAAGTGCTCGGTTTACGCTTTTTTGTACTGTAGCACTGTTTCATCCAGATTTAAACCTTGTTTTGAAGAACACCCATCTGTTGTTTATCCTACTGGAAGTTCACTTTCGTTTGCCTATCTGCATTTGCTTTTTCTCTTGATTTCTTAAGGCGTTGTGCATCTTTGTATTTATTGAACAATGTCGACTTTGTTGTTGTTCGTATTGATTGTACAGCGCTTTCCTTCTCAGGAACGGATTTATGTAAATCGGAGCGTTGGTATACGCGATGCCCAGTCTTTGCTGAGTCTGCGTTACGTCGAGTTTAGCTTTTCAGTACTATTATAATTTCTTTTTTATTGCAGCGTTTCTCCAATAATCGTAGACTGCGTTGGTGTGTTTTTCGTTGATATTTGTATGGGGGTATCGGCAGGAAAAGCTGCCTATGTCCATTATCCATTTAAAAGACATTTTTCACGCTCATGAATATTAAAATACAGTTAATGGTACAGTGTAACGTTAACTAATGGCGGTGGACGTCGAATAAGTCCGAACTCGAGATAGCCAGTTAAGTTGTGTATGGAGAGGCAGCTTCACTCAAGACTTTCTATTCTTATTCTTAAAATATGTGATTCGTTAGTGCATTCCTTTGTGTATCAGCGATGTAATCCGAGTGATTTGCAAAGTTACTGGAAGATGTCGCCATGAATTCACAGCTTTGACACGAAACCACGTTAGTCAAAGCTGCTTAAAGTGAGATACTACCGTAGCTAGGAAATTTCCAAAAAATTAATCAAGGATTGATGTGGGTGAGATAAGGTTTTCTTTTGGCTGAAAATACTTAACCACTTTTCATTTGAAAGGTTGATGCACCGTTGCTAACTGCAATAACAGTTTATCCATACTAATGTAGCTCACGACCTTGTCATATATTTGGTGCGTGTAATTTTACCGGTTTTCTTGGTGTTATTCTGCGCTGTTTTAGATAGATTATTATCTATTTTCACATAGATTTATTTAAACAGGCTACTGCTACATGGCCATTTAGCAAGTGCAGTACAATTGTTTAACGCGTCTTGCAACATTTCATTGTCATGAGCAGTGTCTATATCGTCGTATCGGTTTTTCAGCAGTAATTACTCCTTAGCTAAATGATCCCTTCGGCATTTTAAACTGAGTGAGCGAAACGATATTGTTATAAAATCTGGTTTTGTTAAGTCATGATGATTACTGAATTTTGTTGATCTGATTAATTATCATTTTCCGAGGATAGCTAAAAACAACCCTTCTAGTTTTACATGACTAGGTACAAGTTTAATTTAAGCTCAGCGCTCAGCGCATTAACTTAAAGTTGTTTTTTTGGCCATTTTGGATTCCGGAAACTCGCATCATGCAACAGAATCGTTGCATTTGAAATCTGTTAGGCTTAATGCTTCGTTGAATTATAATAAAATGCAAGGAAAGTGCAATTATCGATAACCAAAGTCAAGTGAGTGTTATTTTCACCAGGCTGCGACTGTTTCTCTGTAGCGATGTGTATGCGCGTCGTGCTGTTAGATTTTTTACCGTTTGTCTTTGTTAAGAAGAAAGGCCCACCGGTTCATCAGAAGAGGTGCCGCGCACTTTACAGCTGCACTGCGGATTATCCAGATGAACTTAGTTTCTCGAAAGGAGATATCATTATCGTTAGCAAGGACCACGTTAGTGGCGAAGATGAATATTGGATGGTAAGTATTTGATGCCTATTGTGTATGTGGTTTACAAAACCGGATTTTAGGAAGGATATATCTTGGGCCATCCTGAACGTTGCGGCATGTTTCCGGTTTCCTTTGTTACTTTCGATAAGGATGGTGGAACTTAGCTACTTCAGATGGCAGCTGATACAGGAGACATTTCTTGTTACTTCTTCCATACATGTATTCATATTTACCGCTGCTCATTCTGATTTTGTCCTCGTCTTACGTTGTGGTGTATTCAGTAGCTTTAGTCAGATATAGAATGAGTTATCGATCTGTGACTGTTGAATAAACGAGCGATTGGGACATCGGGTACTCGACACGAGTTTTCTTGAAAACAACCTGATACATGATTTAACACTAGCAACATGGCTGACTACTTGAAATTACTAGCTCTGTATTCATTGATTAAGACATTGCTTCGAAATTCACTGATTCTGTTGTGGCTTCATCAAGGTTCTATGAGCAGTATTTGAGTGATGTAAAATCTAATTAGCGTTATGCTTGTTTTAATTTATGACTTACAAGTGCTGATTATGTCTGTGTCAGATGTGTAAATGTCCATGGCAGTTTTGTAATGCACGTTTTAGACTGCAAATGTTTGCAGATTTTCTGGCGTAACCACATCAGAACTCCATAATTACCTTATTGTTTCTTGGTTTGCTACCCCAGTTCAATTGAAACGAGAGGCAAATTTCATGCCTAAGCGTGGAATTAGCAGTTGATAAACAAACACGTTTGGCGTATCTGTCAATACATTTTTAAAACAGGATGCAACATGGATTTGACTTATTTTTCGTTTTTCGGCGTTCCTTCGATCAGTTCATCCGATGTTAATATTAATACGAAATGGTAAAACTTGTGTCGAATTTTCAAACCATCAAATTAAATATCTCAGCAGATCGGGTTTGGTCTGTCACCATCGCAGTCAGGCGATAAAGAGCTAAAGCCATGATCGCTCTACTATCTGTTCATCCTTCCAAGGTAGAAAAATCAGCCTGTTTGTTTAGCAGATCTAGTTTTCCTTTCTTAATCTTCGCATCTATTGAGACCACCTGCGTCTGAAAAATATCGATTCATTCCTGACGTGGTCCTACAATTTAATGCATGCTATGAATCAAAGTAGAAGCTATTAGAATAGTGGCCTCTATGCCGAGCAACAGCACGAATGTAACAGAGGCAAATCAGGCTGAGTATTTAGGAAAGAACTACTTTCAGCTCAAATATCGAAAGGTTGTCAAAAGTACCGTAGGAGACGAGGGCGATTCTCCTATTTAATTCTGATGGAATAGTGCCAACCATGGAGATGATTCAGTCCTGCTATTTAAATTAGCCATTCTGTTCCACTATTCGATAAGTCGTGTCTGATGGGTTCTTTTCACCTTTGGACTTCCAGGCGTTTGGATAGCTGCCGGCTTTCGCAGCTGTGTTGTAAGTGGAACGGTTCATGTGAAAGAGTCAGATCTTTGTACTGCTAAGCAGGACTGTATGATCTGCGTACTTTAAGTCAGCAAAATATTTATCCAGACATCTTCAACTGTAAATCCCCTTTAGAGCAAAACCCTCATCTCAGCAGGGGTCATCGCTTGCACTGTTTTTGTCAAGATTACACAATGCTTTATGTTCTTCTTATTAGTTGACAGTCATCTATCAGGTGAGTCAAAGGGAATTACAGCCATACGGGGTGGTTGCATCAGACAGGGTGGTCGTACTACTCGTTCGTTCTGATATTACACACCAAAACCTTATGTTCATTGTTGGTGAGTGAACGCTTTACAACATGTTTATCAGTTTGCAGTACCGAAGCAAACGAAAACTCACTGCACAATTAGAAAGCAATAGAACACTGGACACAATACTGAACTGATCTGATAACGGTTTGTTGACGGAAGGTGTTATGTCTACTTGCCACATTATTGACTCCGCCGTGAGTCCGTTGATCAGGCGCCCTTCTGAAGCAGTGTGACGAAGTCACATGACGCATGTAGCGCAATTCAAGCAACTTCTGCGAATGATAGTTTTGCTCGAGGTTCTATGCATGACTCTAGAAGACAAAGGTCCTAACAGCTATTTGCTGACTGACTCCAAAATCAGTGATATGACAAAGTTTGTTACATGGCCTATGATCACTTCTCGAGGCAGAGTTCCAAACTAAAGAAACTTGCTCTGCTTTATTCTGTAATTTGAGCTGAATGTCTGATGTAGAGTGCCGCAGAGGGCCACGGACCAACAGCAGCTTTGAAATAAACCAAAACGGCACTGCTGATTGGTTTATCTACTTTGATTATTGATTGATACTGCATGGAAAGATGCTTTTGTTTTTCTAACGTCGATAGCAATACCGTTGCTGAAGAAAGACATGCAAATTGATGAGATCCTCTTTAACTTTCTTTCAGTAGAATTAGATTGAAATTACAGAGGTGTGATTGGATCATGAAGTTTGCCATTCATTTATTGCCGCCAGCAAAAATTGTTAAGGGACGATTTAAACGAGTCAACACTATCCAATGGAAAATGTGGCCTTTCTTAGGGTAGTAAAGCATGTCGAAGTTAATCATGCATTCCTCAGTCGTACTAAGCGATCATTCATTTCACAGCAAATATCTTAGAAAAGTCACATGACGAAACTGAACAAAGAAAACCCACGATGGTTGAAACATACAACGAAACAATGAACGTGAAGAAACTTATAAATTCAATAATTTTAATAAAAATTATATTGCATGAAAATGACAAACGGTGATAAGGATATTCATGGCCGTCTGTGCTCTACTGCAAGACGACAAAACATGAGCCAAAAAAGGTAATAAAAGACAGCAAACAACGGTAAGGTATAAATTGAGTGATTCATGGCAACATGGAGCTGCTTATCGAATACAGCAATTGGTTTCAATATGCAGTGACCTGATTGACAGGAATTGCAACTAACTACATTGATCAGTTACCTGATTATTATGTGACCTCATTATTACAGTAAACACGTGCCGCAATCAGTTATCTGATATTCAGCTGCGTATACTACCGTAATCAAATAACGTAGTCAAGTGATGACTATCAGGCACATAATCAGTTGCCATAAGCCATAGGTTGATTACCAAATACCATAATCATTTACCTTGATATGAGGTACAATGATCGATACGGTAGTTATTTGCCGCAATCTGTTACCGTAATCAATTGTCCGCTTATCAGATATCAGATTATTTAGTATCGTAATCATCTACATAATTGTCACGTACGCTAATCAATTACTGTATTCATTTAATGCACTTATTTAGCTATTACTGTGACAAGAGTGGACAACGTCTGCAGTAACTCTCTAATATTTGTCGATGAACTAATAGACAGCCTTCAAGCTGGGCTATTGTTTCTAATTCTGGAACCAGTATTCTGATCTGGGTCTTTCCGTTGACTTATTGAAGACGCAGTAGATACAAATTGGCGGGAAGCAGACCAACTACTAAACCATACCAGTGACACCAGTTAAGTAGTGAAAAAATGTCGAAATATGTATTCATTGAGAGTACATCTGATGTAGATTCTTGCTCTGTAACATGGAGACTGCAAAGCTTAATTTTGTTGACAACAATCAAGCTAGAGAAGTGAAAAATTTAAAATCGATTCTAATAATGAAGTGATACATTCTGGTATTAAATGCTGTCGAAAGAGAAAGACTAAGAGATCCTACCAAAATGTCGAACTGGTTGCCTACCAGAAATTTTAGATGGCGGGCTGTTGCTACTTAAACTGTAAGTAAATCGATGATAGCGCCTTAGAGAATATTGAACGCAATGCCTGGTGGCAGCTGGAGGCCAGAAATATCTCAAATATGATGGCAAAATCCCGTAACAACTGATATAGCGTTCAATAGGTTGAAAATTGAGCACGCATCAGTTCGATTCAGATGCAACGCCTGCCCGGCATCCAGCGTTGTCTTAAATAAAATGGGAGAAGAAGAAGGTAGAAAATGAAACGATGATCTGTTATTTGCAGCGTAGCAAATAAAGTAAGAAAACTGAGCACTTTGCATGTTTAATAATACTTATCAAGGAAGCGGAAGTTGTGCTGTGTTAGTTCGTTTTCAAGCACTCAGTGATTTGTTTGCTTATTGGAAGAATGTACCCTGTTTACGGAAACAACGCAATGCCTCTGCCGCTCACCGTTCACCAGCGGTACCTTCATTCGGAAGTTGCGCACAGGAGCACACATCAACATCCGCGTTGGTGTTCGGCAACACCGCAATCGTCGTCATGCTGTCACACATTTTACGGCAGAGTAGAGCACATGGCGGAAACGGTGCTTCAACGAATTTCTGCTCTCCACATTGGTTGTATGCCAGACGGAAATTCGTTGTCGCAGACGTCAATTCGACGGAACGGAACCGAGTTAATGATTCGAGAACTTAATTAATTTTACCGCTTGATTAATCTGCTACGGGTATTTTGGAATATATTAATTTGTTTACGCATAAGCAACCAGAAATTCCGCAGTTTCGCTTAGCTTCTGAATGCACTGACGGAAGAAAAAGATGCCTTTACAGGGGGAATTCGACCTTTGATTGGTGTACAGTTACAGTTACGTTCGATAAGTTGCAAACGTCCCCTTGGCGCTTTCACTGTTCTTCATGATTTGTCAGATTATATATATTATATGCCACATATATGCCTTCATGCCAGATGCGGTACTTAAAAAACTTATTTTGGAACAAGTTATACTCTGGAGTAAGTCGCTAATTAGTAACTCAGTGTGCTACGGATGCCTAAGTAATGCCTCCGTGAAGTCAAAGGTACCAAATTAAGCTTACTCCTAGGTAGACCGCGTCTATCTACTTTTCAGAGGTTCTCTGCCGTGTGTACTACAAAACAAGCAAATAAAATCATCGGTCAACAATTAAAAGCAATTTTACACCCTTTACAGGGTCAATTCATATTGAATATGGTGCGACATTCCTTTTTGAACGCCATGCCACGAGGTATGATGCAAAATATCAAAGTATTTACATATCATCACGGAAATAAAACAAGAATACGGGTCATTCATTATATCCACACCGTAGATATACTAGCTACCGTTCACTACTCTACTCGTCGTCTTGGTTTACTGGAAAACAGTTTGAAACCCTGCTTTGCCGTGAAACGTCCAATGTGACGATGTAGCAGACTAAGGCATTGTTTGTTTTCATCACCAATTTAAATGCTGTATCACCTGCTGCGGAAATGGCGATCCTCGACAGCTCACCGAACACAACAGATTAATCACTACATTATAGCACTGCAGTGCTGCTTAAATGATGGGTGCACTAGATTTGCGACATCTTGATCAATAAACGATGGGGTAGCTTTGTTTTGGGCAGCTACTTCATGGATAGTGCCATATTCAGCAATATGCGCGGCTCAAAGCATGGAATGATTAGCATTCTATAGATCAAATTGATGACGCCATCCAGATCCCACCTGAGCAAATGCATTCATTTCACTCGACTCCAAAACGCAGCAGTTTCAGGCAATCGCTTTTTGCCCCGGCTTTTACCGTCTCCTTAAACTGCTAGCTTTACACCTACCTACTGGTATTGATGAAATGTAGTCAGCCCTAAATGTCGTTTTGCGCGAAGCTGACGCTGCAGTCATTGGCCGCAAAAATTCTGTCAAATGGCTGTCGTTGGTGGAGGACTTGCCGCTCGACATTATGGCTGGGAAAGCAGCAACAGTAGAGCCGGGTAAGCCAGCAATAGCAGCAGCTGTGACGTACCAACAAACGACGTTTCTGTCCTTACGGATAAAAGTGGTCATGGTTCTTTTGCTCTGCACAAATTAGCTGCTGAAGACAATCACATCATCGCCAAAGAAGCCTGAGGTCGCCAACTTCATCTATCAGCAAACTATTGAAATTTCGGACTGAAAAGTCGATAATGGTAAAATAAATAATTGCAATAGTGCAATGAATTTAGTACCATAAGGCTGAATACCTGTTGCACAGAGGGTAAGGGGTAATGCAGAATAGATTGGGTCACAAAATGAAAGAACTGCCTAACATTCTTGCTGAAGAATCGTTCAAGACCGGGATAAATGGTACAATATTAGCCAATGTTGTGCAGGACGTCATGAATCTTCTGATGGTAGCAAACACTGTGATATATTTTAAGGCAACACGGACAAGTATGAATAATGAATAGGCAAGCAGAAGGATTACAGTCAAAAGTAAATGATCGATGGGTTCACGAGAAATTACTGCAATGTGTCAACCTTTGTCTGCACCACGTGCACTGATTATTTGTACACGAACATGCAGTTAAGGTTTAGTTTAGGACTATGCAGACTTGTAAAATTTGGAAGTAAAATGACATATTATCCAAC